ACAAGAAGCTCATTGATACCCCTAACAAGGTCTATATCTAACCAGAAAAAGTTACAGTGAATCAATCTTTGTCGTCATCTTGAATTTTCCTGTTTATTGAGTTCACATTCTTGTAATTGGGTATTTATCCAATTACAAGAACACTATCATAACTAAAACAAATCAAATTCGGTCTACATACATAAAATTATTTTACATTAAACATTTTTAAGCAGTCAATATTATGGATAGTATTTTAGTTAAAGTTAGTGCTTAAATAATAAGTTAATTTATACCCCTAACAAGGTCTGTCTAACCAGAAGAAGTTACAGTGAATTAACCTTTGTCGTCATATTGAGTTTTCCTGTTTATTGTCTTCATATTCTTGTAATTGGATAGACATACTGAAAGAAAAATACTTATCACGTGATTACAACGCGTGTAATAACATAATAGATTCCAGTCAATGTCTCAAATGAGTGATGTGATATGCCTACAATACATTGTTCTTGTAGCTATGTTATGTTTATATCTTCGCTTATGTTTTAAAGGACAATAAAAAATTGTCGTTGAGGGCAAAAAAGGTAATTCAATTGTTTTAAATACATTCTATTATTATGAAAATGTTAGTGTCTGTCTTTTTAGTTTCTTTTCACGACCTTGAAGACCTCTCACTGAAATTATATATAAACAGATTTTAGATCACGTGGACAGGCGTAGGTTGTTTCATTTTATAAATAAAGCACGTAGTCTCGGACAACTACTAATCTAAAAACCTTTGTAAAATATGAATTTTATATTAGTTTTGTCAATATTTTTCACATATATTACATACCAATAATACTATATAATACTTTACTTTTATCATTATAGTTCGACCAATTAACTAAATATATTTTTTTTATTATATTTATAGCCTATGTATTATTCAGTAGATCGTCCATCCATCTTTCATCCAAAAATTTTCGCGTTTATAATATTAGTAAGATGTACATATTAATAAAATATTATTAATACGAATGTTTGTAAGTATGTATGTTTGTACCTCTTTCACGCAAAAAAAACTACTGAAAGGACCTTGATGAAACTTTACAGTAAAAAAGCTTATGCATCAGAATAACACATAGGCTATATTTTATATTGAAATTTATATTTAAATGTAACGCGGTTGAAACCACTAGGCACAGCTATTATATGAATAAAATAATGTATGGCGTCGTATAGATTTTCATCTTTTGTTTTTCCTTTCAATATCATCAATTGAATGCTCGCGAAGTCGCGAGCGCAAATAGTCTATATATAAAAGCTTTATTCTTTGTTCAATTGAAATGTATGGCGTACATGCATAGATGCGAATAAGTTACACAGAAACAGGTCATTGACGTTCTGCCTAACTGAATTCGTCCTATGCAAATTAGTCGGCCACCGAACTCACACATATGGCGGACATCAACAACAGATATTCTAAAGTAGACAAATAGATACATACAATGTACTTTATTTGTAACACACAATAAAGACATAAACAATTTATTAAATAGCACATGTATTATTACAATAAGGTGAAAAGTAGCTGAGTCTACGAACTTCAATAACATTTTTTTAAACTGTATAGAATATAACATATATTTAATTAGAAATGGTGCTTACCACTATGCATTAAAAACCACACATAAATAAGTTTCTAAGATTTGGGCGCACAAACAAAGAGACGAAAATTCGAAACAATCATTGTTTTGTCTTCAACATACCACTAGAGTTCAAATTGTAGTTCTAAATTGAATAAACCGCATCTATAAAAACTACTTATGTAGTAATTGAATACCAATCTACTAATTAAAAATTTACTGAAACTAAAATATAATGATTAACTATGCTGTGAAACTCATATATACTTCCGGTAAATACAACCGTTTAAGAAATAGAAAATCTATTTTATTGAAATAAACACTGTATAGTGTTTTTATTTATTCAACAGCCCATTCGATTTACAGATTTAACTTGTCTGTTGCTATTATTAAAGAATCATCAATAATATGTAATATTTGATAATTCTTGTAATTTGTGATGTCAAAAGCGTTGCGTAACGCATACAAATTTAACATACAATCGCATTCAAAAATCTATAAAATGATTATAATATTTTTTATGTTAAATTGTATGATAACAATCCTAGTCGTTTTATTTTTAGTCAATATAAGCAGACTCGAAATTAATAACACCATATTTTTATCTATCGCACTATTTGTTTTTTTAACTGTGAACATTTAGTCAACATTTGTAGTAAGTACTGCATGTGGTAGCTAACCTAAATAATTGATTGGACAAATTTAGCTATGTACATACTGCGTCGCGTTGGGTTCTAAAAATAAAGCGTGTAAAAACCGCGAAATTTCAATTGAATATCTACTATGCATTGCGCATGCTGATGTACTGAGTATATTCTAGAAACAATAACTGAAGCAGTGAAGCCGCTCCATCATTTATTAAGTGTACACTTCCAAGATCGATTCAGTCCTAAGCATGAAATATCCCATTCTTATTAGAATTAAAATGTGAACAACAGCTTTGTAATTTGCCTATGTCTCGACATATAATCTTTGCCTTTGCGTCTATAGTTTTGCGTAGGATTAATTAGCATAACTATATATTTATTATATTAGTACTACATAATATAGGAGTCCTTCCTTGCTTTGGTTATTGTCTGCATTCTATATGACCGATTTTTATGTTCTTTAATGTATTTGTACGGAGTGCATTGTACAAACAAGAAATGATGGGCTGGTAAGAAAAGACAGATTTGGAGCCTAAGTCTATGTCTAATGATGAACTATAAAAATATTAGCTTCTCTGTTCTCTTCTTTTTTGGTTGCTTAGTACGAATGATTTTCCAACTGCTGATGCCAGGCTATTGTGTTCCACTTATATTTTGCAAGTTTTTAAGCTAAAGTAGAGCGAGATGTTTACATTTATAAAGCACTAGATTTTGAATAATGTAATTTAATTGCAATATTAAAATAGCGATTTAATACGTTATTCTTTTATTTTTAATCCAACTTAAGTAGCTGAGCACTCTCATCTATATCATATACTAAATTGTAGTGTGCGGAAAACAATTTGTACAATACTGTAAATAAAGAATGAAACTAGCGCATTAAGCTTTTGCGTCTAAATTTTTTTAAGTAAATGTGGTTTACTTAAATTGTTTGCCGTAATTGTTATGTTATAATTTTTAATCATCTCTATATTTTGCTTCTCTCTGTATCTATTGTTTGAAGTTTCATATGTATACTACTACTAATGCTTTATTACAATGTATTTGTTTGTTTTACAATAGCACGTTATAAAATTATATAAATATTTTCCATGCAATGTAATACATTTGCAGTAAAAAAGGCATCTCCTTTTTCACCATTATACATATTTTATAATGAGCAATTGCATTATTAATTGCCATAACTGATTTATTGTTAGGTTTAATAAAAAAAATAAATCAAGTCGTGTGGGCCGCTCATATGTTGATATGTTATGCCTGTATGCGTTGCAATTTCTTTCTATTTAAAATAAAAATTACAAAGTAAACTTTTTGACGCCTCAAAAACTAGGCTAGAGATACCCAAAGAGACTTTGAACAAAATACTTTTTTTCTACTGACTCTAATCTACATGTTGCGTTAGCGTCTTAATAACAGTCAAAAGCATATATGTAATAGAATTTTAAAATGTATGTTATATTTATTTATTTATACTTTATGCTACATGTATAGTATTAATTAAGTCGTAGATATAGCTTTAAATGTGTGTGCGTGTGTAATGCAAACTCTATTTATTAGCGTCTTTTCTTTGTTTATGGTGGTTAACCTCCACTACTTATATAAACACATTAAACATAACGTTTGAGCGAATTGTACTCATTTTCTTACTATCATCAAGTTATAATAAATTTTATATACCTTTCGGTAGAATTCTCGAAGTCATAGTGAAAACCTTTGCATAGCGCAGGAAGCTGAGAAAACGTATGGACGAAAACAATAATTTATTGTCTTCTTATTATAAAATCCAATATAATCATATAATATATCACCACATGGTACGGGTCTTCCCCAAAAGTTGAAACTGATGTCCTATTTTTTATTATGAATATTTATTTTGAATTTTTCCTTATCTACTAGGTAGGGAGTAGGTACCTACTGATTTCTAATGCTGTTCCCATTGTTGTGTAATATAAGAGAAGACCATGATTCATTATTATCTTGCACATTATTTTAATTTTAGTAAATATTATTTCAATAAATGTATATGAATAATAAATTTCCTATTGCACGTTATCGAACACAACCAGCATGAGTAATAGGGTTAATGTCCTCGATATGTACATAAAAACATAAAATCGCAGCTAATATAAGTGTCGTAGCATAGTGTTGAAAACCAGTTAGAGATAACGCGATTTGAGTTTGATTTAATCTCGAACTAAAAGAAGGAACCATATTGATACACTGTACTAATTAACACGACCCTGATATCAGAATGTCGCTTATAAAAATTCCTGTCCGAGTCCGATTCGAATAAGATTCTTAGTACATTGTACCCGGAAAGCAGTTTTCGCTTTTCTAATAAATTTCTTTTCTATATTCTTATCGATTCAATTCGAAAGAATTTCGCATTTATTATTATTATTATTATTTAATATTATTAAGATTTTGATTGTTTTCTAATAGTTATATCGAATTTTATCTATTTTACGCTATTTTATCGTATTGGAAGATACACATTTATATTATTGTACTTATATATAAAATTATACATATGGAATAACCATAGATATTTCATACATTCCTATTCGTTTTAATCTCGCTAATACTGAAAAACGGATTCACATATATGAATATTTTTTTATTGTTTAGTGAACATGCGATACTTTCATAATACTAAAATATATTTTAGTGGATACAAATTTCACCATATAATCTGGTACTTAATATAAAAACGTAATATTAACCATCCGTTTGTGTTCATTTACAGAGCCAACAGTCGCTGGCGCTGTGGTGACCCAGGTCCCACTGCTGGGAGTCAATGGTTCAGGCATCCGTCACATGAACGGCACGGAGAAGACAACTACAGTTAGTGAACCTATCATGCCCGATGACAGTGGGTATTTTTTTTAGTCAATGAGTTTGATAAATTGATCTTATGGTTGGCTACCTTTCTCGCTGAATAGCTAGTTTGACGGCCTCAGTGGTCTAGCGGTTTAGCACATCGCTTTACTTCCAATGGTCGCGGGTTCAATTCCTCGCACGTACGCACAAATATTTTATTAGTATAATTATTTGTATTGACCTGAGTGTTTTCTGTGTATAATATGTATTTAAGAAAAATAACTATGTATTTATCCGTTACCTTGTACTCATAATACATGCTTTAGGTAGCTTAACTTGGGAATAGATGGCGCTGTATGAATTGTCCTCAGATTGTTATTATTAATCTCTTTTTCACAGCAATCCTGGTGATTAGTTACGAAGTCCAATTTGAAGACCAAGATATATGGTAGTAAAATTATAGTGTATTGGGACATGTTATATGAGAAGATGATGAATGTGATGATGTTCATATTCATGTATATAGGTGATGTTTGGTACATTCCGTCCTTTACCTTAACGGTGGGCCGTGGCGTTGCTAGCCATTACGTTTACTTAAAAAAAATCTAATAACTCCACTGTGACAAACGGCATTTATGTTTGGCGCCTAAGTAGTTCTCATTCATGGTACGAAATCCGCACTTTCACCACCACAAATAGAAATTTGAATCAGTTTTAAATTAGTTACGCTTAAACTTGGTTTCGTGCAAGTAAAATGTAGTATTGTTACGTTGAAATAAAGTTTATTTTGTTCCACGTGATATGAATTCAGTAATTTGTTTTTATTTAAAACAGTTGTTGTTTTACTTCTGTGTACGTTTGATAGCGCAGCATATTCGACTTCTACTGTAATACAGTTCAGTTAAAATAGTCAAAGAAATAATTATTTCTCAAAAGAATATGTTATATAATTCTAAAACTAAACTCTTATTTAATTATTGTAGAAAATAATTTAACCAAGAATTCTTTACAGTAGCATGTAAACTGTATGTGAACAGAATATATCAAAGATCTATCTCTCTAGATCGGTCTTTAGAACGACAGTCCCTATAACTTCAAATATTATATAATAATAATAATATCCCATGATCATTCCAACCGCTCCGTCTAGTGTCAAGCTAAGCAAAATTTTTGTAATGGTTTCAACTGATACATTTTATAGACACATTTTCTAAATATGTATACATAGAAAACCTCCAGACCTATACAAACCATCATACTCATAAATACAAATGTTCAAACCATGAGAAGAATCAAACCCGCGACCATCGGAAATAAAGCGTTGTACTAAACCTTTTGACCACAGATGCCGTGATTTGTCACTATAATTATTCAATATACGCTGTTCGGTAGAAAAATATAGGCTAACTCAGAAGCTCATTTACCTACCTAACCTATTGGTGAAAATGTAAATAATTAAAAGAAGCAGACATTTTTTATGTAGTAAGAATGGTAAATAAGCTGACTGCACAACAGTGACTGATAAGAACTGAGATATCATGCCTCTTATTTTGTAATTTGTCTGTATTTTCTCACCCTATAACCGATGGTAGGCAGACAACTTTTTACAAAGTATGCCACAGTATTATTCGTCTAATAATAATTTATTATTCTTCTTTGCTATATCTTTTTATGTCACGCCTCCGGTAGGCAATAATTACTCTATCTATAGGTTTCTTTGTTTACTCAGGTTTTTAAATTGCATCGATTTGATTAACATTAATAAATAATAATAATTCCGAGCCAATACAATTGTGGTATTTATGTCCTCATAGGGAGTATCTCAATTGCGCGAGGTCTTAGGAATGGGTATATGCATGCATATGCATGTATTGGCATGTTGAGAAGAAGATACCTAATTTAAACTATAATAAGTATTAAGTAAAGCGACGTCATGGCAGAAACAATATTATCGTCCGTATATAATTCAAGTTACACGGCTAATTTGGTTAATTAGCAATTACTTATGTAAATGAATATAGGAGTGAACTAAACATTCGTCTGCCATTTAGGCTGAGCTGTTGGATTCTGAATAGGTTATGTTAAGAGATCAAATTCACCGATATGTCAACTATAATAAGGTCTGGTCTTACTACCATTCAACGCTATCTAGTCCCAATCTAAACAAAGCTTGTGTTATCTTTAATAGACTATTGATACAAATACATAAAATTATATTTTATATAAATACATACAAATTGCACACAGAAAACACCCAGACTAATTCAAACAATCATAGTCAATACAAATATCTAAGAGATTGACCTAAGACGTCAGTACCATGTTAAAAACAGCAACCATATTATAGTCAATATATTGCCACAAGTTGAAATAAACTTTGGTGGTCGAATTCACTAAGAATTTGTATGTATATTGTGAGAAATGAAAGTCTAGATCCAAAGAGTGAGTAGTATCCAAAAGTTCGTGACGTCATTATAGGTACATAGGTACATAGCGTCAATGACAGGATATTAGTAAAATAGATACTCTGTGGAAATATGTGAAATTAGTTGCCAGAAGTATAAAGGAAAATTAGTTGGTGTGACGTAACCAATTCATAACTTAACACAATATTGCTGTAGTTGGGCGAACCCAATAAATAATAACTAACCCATGTCAATTTATTGTATATAGTGTCATCTAGTTCCAAACTAAGCAGAGCTTCTATGTGTACTAGATCAGCTATACATACTTTAAGTCTTTTATGTTGTGTGGGGAACGAAACCGCAACCACCCAGTGTACTAAACAACTTGACTAGCGAGGTCTATATTTTTTTATTGTTTGTTACTATTATTATGTGTATAGTTTTTACATTCTGTAATATCTCTGTATGTTTCATAACTGTTATACATACTTACCAGATACAAACCATACAACATGTGTCTTAAGTTCTCCATTGACTTCTAATTCATTTGTTGCAGATCTAAACATTACCGAGATATTGGAAGAGACACCAGAGATGATAAAGTCTGAACACAACCTGGCTAATTTGACTTATGTAAGTATATATCAGTATCACAAAATAATTTAATTATATTCGTTATAAAAGCAATGACATTGTTAATAACTAACGCCATCTATATTGTTTTGAGAGAATCGCAATTAAAAAGAGTGTGATTTTCTCAAAACTATAATTTTCGTCTTAACCTGGATTTAAATTGTGATAAATATTTATTAGATGTTTTATTATTTATTAATTTTATAAGATATGCTTAAAAATATAATATAATAAACCTTTTATTGGACTGGCATTGATTTTTCATCAGCCTTAATTACAACCAAATATAAAATATTAAATATTTCAAAAATTATCTGTTGAAATATCAATATTTTCTCATAATTTTATAATTTGTATCGCTTAACCATCTGAATCTAAGTATGAATAAACCATTACTAATATACATACTTATTTAGTTATTTTAGAATAAAAAAGAAAACCTCTTATTTGTAAACTTCAAATATACTGAACTGATTTAAAACTATATTCTTAGATAGCATTAATGTATCAAATGTATGTATGTATTAAGAATAATACTAAATTTACGGTGATAGTCACTAGTATAGTCACTATCGCTATAAATACATCCCGTAATTTTTTGACAGGACAATCACGACTTCTACAACAGCTCGTTCATTGGCAACGTGACATTCTTCAAGGAGCACTGGGAAAACATAACGAAACCACCGGCAGACGAACATGCAGTTCTAAGCAATTCACACCGAAGGGCTACGGTCAGTAAGGCCATTACATTACATAACTTCTTGATACCAATACATCAAATCAAAAAAGTCAAAAATCATTTATTCATGTAGGACATTTTAATCGCTTATGAACATAAAATTGTTTATATTCATATTTTTCCCTACCGTCCAGTTCAGTATACAGATTCAATTGAGAAGAACTAGCAAGCAACTCGAGTGAATTTCTATTTTTTAAAGGCCAGATTGTTTACATCGTGTATTTGTGTAGGTGTCTAAGTCTAACATTAAGTGAAAATCCCGTACTTGAACTACTATTACCATGCACTGCATTTTATTTTACGGCGACCACAAATAAATGGAGTAAGGAGGAAGCAGATGAGTCATCTTTATTTGTCTCAAATAAGGAACTGCTACAATTACTGTTTATAATGAAATTAAAAGGTATTAATCGAGACAAAATGGTTTACAACTCAGAGGGGGCAAAGAGCCGCCCTGATATTTTGTTTTATTGTATAATTATTCTGTATCTGAATTTAGAGTGATTATACTCTCTTAAATGGGGTGATAGATTTGTCTTTACGGGTGAAAATCACTAAACAATGACAACTATAAAAGGAAATTATTATTAATATTATTTAAATTTTTGTATATTCGTCTTGCAGGCGGTTGTTTTGAAATTCCCGTTCCCGTTCTACGGGCAAATAATCAATAACATCACGGTGGCTACTGGGGGCTTCATGTATACCGGAGACCATGCGCACAGCTGGCTCGCGGCTACACAGTATATAGCGCCACTGATGGCGAACTTCGACACTACGCTCACAAATGACAGCGTCATCAAAATGAGCGATGATGGTAAGTGAACCTTACTTAATATTATAAATGCGAAAGTATCTCTGTCTGTCATGCTTTCACTTTAAAACTACTGATTCCATTTAAATGAAATTTGGTATACAGAGTATTATAGACCTTAAAGGAGACACCCTGGGTTGTAGAGGTTTGAAAGGGGAGATGAAAGGTTTTATGGATATATCGTCATTTTCAAAGCTAGGACATTAAAACTTATTGTTTAGGATGTTGATTAAATATAAATAATATGGCATTCATAGTTTGAAAAAAAATACTCTTAAGGGGGTAAAATAAAATAATGGATGAAAGTTTGAATCGTCATTTTCGAAGCTGAAACGTTTTTATTTTGCTTTTTTGGCGTTAGATTAATAAATAATTTTTATTTATTTGGTCAAGGTCACTAAAGCAGAGTAGTGCTAAAGCAACGAGGCCGTCCAGCATGAGTATGATGGGCGATAATTATAACATTTGTACTAAAACAAAGTCTCTTTACAGGTGAGAAATTTACAGCCTTCTGGGAGAATGTTTCATTACAAGAGAACGCCAAGTTGAAGTTTACGTTTGCAGCCACGCTGTACAAAAATGGTGATATTGTGTTCGCTTACAAAGATATACCATTGACGGTCCAACAGATTGACGAGTCTATGCACCCGGTCAAAGTAGGCATCAGTGACGCGTACATCACAGATAAAATTATGTTCTGTAAGTAATTTACCAACCATTAATTTTATGTATAAGACTACGTTACGCGGAATTGAGAATGAATATCTATAATCTGTAATCTCGCAGATTAAATGGACAGGTGTAGATGTCAGTTTTGAAATAATGTTACCTGCTGTAGCGGGGCAATGATGTACCTGCGTTACTGATTTGTGTTCTTGCATCATATTATTTTAGATTACTTTTAAAGCTTTCTACATAGTTATCACAACATATTTTTAAGATTTAGGTCTTTGTATTAAATAACACAATCATAAATTTCTCTAGTTACCGTACATATAGACATTTTTACGGTATTCACCTACATACCAACTATTTTTTCTGTCAAACGGCTAAATATTTTGAATATGAGGTATGTTCTAAGAAATATGGCACCATACAAAGGTCATTACTTTTATAAAAATAATATATTTTGATACAACAACCATTGTTGCCATTTTATAAATGCCAATAGGTATAACAATTGTAAGGATTTATATTTTAGAAATTAATTGATATTGAGTGCTACTCATGCCTAATATAGTAATTTATGTTGCTTATGTATTTTGTTGTTTACACATAACAACGCTTTGTTAGTAAGAAATATACTAAATTTAAATAATTTCAGATGTACGCCGCAAGACAATCTATGAGTATCATCGAGCTAATTTCAAAAATTACCTCATTACCAACAATACTATTCTGAGACTCACAGCCTTGCCCACTTGCATGCAATACGACAACTGCCAGAACTGCATCAACCATAACACAGCATTTAATGTAAGTATAGAGAACAATCTGCACTGTTTGGTCTTTTAGATTAACAATGTGTTAAATTTGATTAGGATGACGATTGTTAATTTTGATTTAAATGTATTGACTGTTTTGTGCCAAAATAAAGTAATGAAAAAATCATTCTCTCTGCCTCTTTTTAGTACAATATAGCATTTTCAAGATTCAAAGTATACATAGCATTTCCTCAAAAGCAAAGCAAAAAATAAGAGTTCAAAATGCAAATATGCTTCATACCATACTTTAACTCTCTTTACCCTCTCTCTCTCTCTCCTCTCATCTCTCTTTCCTCTCTCTCTCTCTCTCTGAGACAGTGTAAAGAAAATAAAATGCAAAATGTAAACTAAATACCATACTAAAAAGTAAAAAAAATCAGGTGCATAAATACACTGTATATTGAACTTAAGCCATGTTGACATATTAAATCGCTGGTAATATATATATAATAAAAATTATCTTAAAATACTTTTATCATGACTATAGTTATATTACAAAGAAAATAAAATAATAAATGGTAAAAAGGTTTTACTCTATTGTCTTTTAGTGTTCGTGGTGTTCACAAGTACAAAAATGCTCGAGTGGCACAGATAAAAATAAGCAGGATTGGACCATGAGACGTAAGTACCGTGATATGTTTCACACAGATACTATTAGTACAGCAAACATACTGAAAAACAACGATATTAACCGTCGGCGACTGAAATATGTTAGTCTATGGTACCTAGAGATAGTTACGCAGAATACTTTCTAAAGAACGAAAGAAAGGAAATATGTCTACAGTCTCATCATCATCATCATTATGATGTTAGTCTGAGTTACCTAGAGGTTACTCAGATTATTTTTTAAAGAAAAGAAAGAAAACATGTCTACCTTTGGTAAAAGATATTTGAATGCTCATTAACAGTAATATTTATTTTATTATTTTATATTGTTTATCAGTCATGTGTCGCGTATTCTCATTTTTTTAATATATAAAATCTAACACCTGTATATTATTATATATGTTATATTTAAATTTAATGTATACAGATTGTGACAAATTGGCTGTGACCAAAGTGTCAGCGTGCCCGGCTTCGCCTGCGCCTGGACCCTTAGGTGGTAGTACAGCCTACGTCACCGGTTCCACAGATGCGGTCATTCACGCGTGTGAGTTTTTTTTACTTTAAATTAGTTATTACTAGCTACCTAGATTTTTTTAATATTTATGGACACTGTTATTGTTTATAATATAGTGTAGTTCGAAAAGTAATAAAAAATTCCAATCAAAAGTAAAAAAAAAATTAAAATCTAATAAAAAGTTCCAAGTTAAATATTTTGTATACATTAATAAAGGCTTATGTTATGGTGAATTGACAACAAACTAAAAGCCCTTTTTGAGTGTTACATAATGTATTTTTTAAAAGTAATTGTTGTTGTATTTTATTGTTTAATTGTATAACCTCATATATAGTATATATATTATTATTTTATTGTTGTTTATTACATGTAATTCCAATAAAATATACTGTATAATATAAATTATTGCAATTACATGTTATAAAAGGATGGATTCATTGTTTGAATCGATCTCTTATTAGCACAATCATATTCATCTACTACATATGAGATATCTAGTTATTTCTGAGTTCATTCTGAGGAAGTAGAGAAACTTAAATATTATTGAAATGTTAAATTATCTACGAGTCTACGAGTGTTTGTCACCTAGTTCTTAACGGATTTATAATGAACTTTTGTTTTTATTCATGGATTCTTAAATTATTTTGAAAACATTTTGACTGGGTGAGTAACGATGTTTTGCGGGTGTTAATATATAACACCCGGTATTTATGTACAGTTGACGACCAAGCCACTCCATTCAAAACTCGGACCTCGATCAACAAGGCGCCGGTGGATGCCACTGTTAGTTCGAGCCACACTGTTCCTGAGGAGGGCATATCACCAGTGGGCGGTGTTGTCGCCGCGTTTGTGACTGTTGCTATAGTATGCAGCATTGCCGCGTGGACTGTGTACGCATTTAGAAACCCGCATACAAGAAGCGGACAACTGCTTATTAAGGTACTGTACTAGTAGTAGAGTCACTTACTGTAGGGTAACTGTACTATTGGGTTACTATACTGCAGTGGGTAACTATACCAAAGGGTTCCTGTACTATAGAGGTGGTCTCTAAAAAAATCTCAGTTTCACCTATTTTAGCCAAGCAGTTTGCTCTGTAAGGTTATGGTGTGCGAATTAGGCAACAAAATTACAGAATAAGCAGCATAGCGTCTTTTGTATTCTGCAATAGCAGTGCATGAGTGGTATCGACGATATCGCATGGTAACGAGCTTGTGTAGTAATATTCATGTATGTAGGCGATGGTTACAGCTTGATATTTGGCGACTTCTCAACTTGGTCGCCATTCAAATTATAAAAAACATCTATTTTTATTATTATTAAATCCTGTATGTTGCACAACTAGGGGATTGGCTATTTCTTTGCGCAGCAGCATACACTAACGGATAGCTGTTAGTTTGCGCCTAAGTAGTATGTGTCTATGTCTACCATGCGTATTACAAATAAAGATGGGAAAAGGATTGGGTAATAATTATTTTTCATTATATAAGAAGCAAACATTTTTTTCTTATATGGGTCGATGAAGTGTCGTGCGCCCTTTTGAAACATGGACCGACGACATCAAGAAGATGGCTGGTAGTGATGGATGCGAAAGGAAAAATATCGCACGTGGTGAAAGGCCTATAGCGCCAACAGTAGATAGATACGGGCTGAAATGATGATGATAATATAAGAAGCGAAAAAATTTCTTATGTACTTTTCCAGAAGGCGTGAATATTTTATAGTACTAGCATCCCAGACAAGTTAATCGATATTTATATACTGAGAACAAGAATACGAGCTGAGTTTCTTATCAGTTCTTCTCATTTCGAAATCATTCCGAACTGACGTTCGGCTACAACTGCTTTGACCTATCATAAGAGTCTGTAATGGACCTACATAATTAAAGATAGACTACATAAATAAAGATATTTTGAATTTGAATATAATCTGGTTTGTCCACAGTACCGACCATCACAGTGGAGTTGGCGACGTGGTGAGGCGCGCTACACAGCCGCCACCATCCACATGTAACAGGCGTCACCGCGCAGTCTACCACCGTCACCGTCACTCACTTACTGTCGAGCTTAACACTGTTCATACTGTTGGTAACATATCGTTTTTATATGCAGTATATTATATTTAACAATTTATATAAGATGCTAATAATAATGAAAAAATTTAAAATACAGTGTATTAACAATATCGTATACTCCTATTATACCCCCTATAACACGGGCATACGCCCGTCGTTATAGGTGGATTACTGATAATTATGTGAAATCTAATTCATACAAATAAACACATTAAATAATGATTAATGATCGAATATTAGAATCCAATTTATAAGTAAGAACTGAAAGTGGAATAACTTTTCGTACGTAATCTATAAATTATTTACATACATACATGACATATTCATTATGATGAGATTTTATGACAAAAGGGTATATAATAGTCCTTTATTCTTCCGATTTTCCATGACTTGTCTCATATACACATACCCCATCGTCTGACACGTGGGTCCGATGGCAAAAATACAACCAAAAAGAAAGCTAAATTGCGAAACATGCTATTTTTAGAACTAGAAACTTAAAATTTCTTATATACATACACAAAGTAATAACACATATTTGTTATATACTGTTTTAAATTTGACGCGGTCATTATTTATACGTATAATTGGTAAAATTCCCGATATTTCGGCAGTGTTTACTCGTGATCATGGCGGTTGAAAAACTGCCGAAATATCGGGAACTCAAAAATATAGAACATGGTAAGATCCCGTGATTTTTACTAATTATATACGTATAAAACATTTTTGTTGACCAATGCTGAACTATAATAAGTTGACATTTTCTGTTACCCAGAAATAATTATATTATTCAGAGTGAAGTATATTTTGTAGAGAGCATACACAAGGACGGTCGGTAGGGGAAACTTTCAGCCGACTGTCTTTACAACTTACCTCAATGTGAAATAATTTTATTTTAATTCTATAACTTTGATGTAAGTATATAAACTCTTTGGTTGTGTTCATAGGTCAAAGGGCCACTTTCCATAAGACAGGGTGTGTGTTTGTTATTGATGAGATAAAATCTATATGTTCTGTTATGTCGTGTTCCAAACATGTGTTTCCATCAACCATCCTGTAAACCAATAGGATTTTATTTGAAAATATTTTTTACAATGACTTTTCTGGCTTTAAACGTAAATAATAATCATGGTTTCACAACCTGCCAGTATGCCTTAAACGCAAAGAATAATATATAAATCAATGTTAACTAAAAATATTTTTATACAAATATTATATACATTTATTTTTATGTATAACTGTTTGGTGAATGTTAATGAAACTGATCATGTAACTGTATTAAATTTTTACAATTTTTTGTATTTATAATGAATTTTTGAATAACATTTATTAATAGTATAAATTATAATAATATTTATAACATTCCTTGTATATGTTCAATATGATAATGTAATAATAATTTGTATATGATTACAAAATATACCGATAACTTTCCATTTAATAATAAATATTCTATGATTAGGTCGAATAATTTTTGAGAGTATAAACATAGAAGCAAAGTACATTGTCTGAACTAAACTCATAATTTAAACACTATAAAAATAATTTGTTATATATTTGCAGTGGTTCCGCATGTTGCCGTTAACATATACCGTTATATACGTATTTACCAAAACATGCATGGTAGCAATCTGAGCTATCACATATCTTCACTCTTATTGACGGTAAACATAATGATTAAAATACTAAATAATACAACAATAAAGTGTTAGTAAATGTGCGCTCAGAAATTATTCGATGAATTCAAAACTATCTGTTCATTACGTATATTATCAAATAATTAGAATTAAAATGGTTGGCGAAATATGTGTGGCAAGGTGGACTGCGAATGACCTGCATTAATTAATTAATATTCGATATATATTGTATTTACATTAAGTGCCTTTTGAGTTCCGTAGGGTACATATCCGTCCCTATATTGTTAGCATAAGATATATTATACATCTCGAATCTTTATAAGATTTATTAGTGTTCTGATCGGTTATTGGTATGTTACTTAACAATATAATATAGGCAAATAAGAATAAATTGGATGGAACTATGCAAATCTATTAACGTATCTGATGTAGGGTAAAATGATATAAACGATATTGTCCTCAATTGAAATGAACTCGAATAATTTATCTCCGTCTGTATGGATGTATTATCTATTAATGTACTGAGAACATAGAAAAGGCTCTTAATGTACATGATATATTAAGTCTTATGTCAGAGTTATAAAACCTGTTTTAATTTCTAAATTTTAATCTGTAACTCTGTAAGAGATAAATATAATAAACAATTAGAAACGCGGTGTCTTAACTAGAGTAAATTTTACATATTATACATCTACCGTAATGTATTTAGCCTTAATATTGCCAATATATGTCACTCATCAATTATATAATTAAATATGTCTCAATATTTCAGTAGATAATACATGTATTTAGAGTACTAGACATTTCTCAATACAATTCTCATTTTTTACATATATATTACTTGGAATCTCAGACCCAGGTGGTAGTTACTAATATAACGATTTACTTTTTACTTTAATATAGTGTTTACACTGAGCATATTCGCACATGTCCTAGACTTTTGGATTCTAGATACAATAAAAATAGCGGCCATAAAAATGTCTGTTGTTGCCAAAATTATAAGTCAATCGCAGATAGTCATACACTGAATAATAAGTTTAATTGCATCGTAAACAAGTGATTCGTACTTCTATTCTAATATTATACTTATTTGTCCTATTTTGGACAAATACTCTTATTGTTCAATACATTCTAACTAATAGATACGTACGTACTTAATAATAATGTAATTAATATAAATTCAGTACTAACCGTCTCAACACTAATCTTGTGTGATAGTTTATAATAGTTTCTATGTACCCTGTGTGCTGCCACGCGAGTATTTTACGTAGAGCAAAACTTATATCAACGTAATTAAAATATCTCTGTAATGTAATGTCTTACGGAACTCATTACCATTCGAATTTTTAGTGTACTAAGTGCACATTGACCAAATTCTTAATTTCTACTCTTATATACGTCGGTTGAACTGGTTTAGATATATTTTATATGAATATATAGTGATATTATGTATAAAAAGTGTTTTTATTGTCGTGTTATTATATCTTTCATTTCGGGGATGCTGTAATGTGTCAATGTATTTTTTTCTATTTAGTAGGTACTTATATTTCGGTCTCATGAATTTTGTAAACGTAAAATATACACCAAAGATATGAAAAGCTATGAGTTAATTTAGTAATACCCTCCTTTTACAGAATAACACAAGTAAATCTATTTTATCTTTCGACAAAATCAATCGACCACGAGACTCGTAGTTAAGTTTTATGAAAGTGTAAATTTAATTTTTAGGGGACCAGATTCCATGAAATTTACAATAAATTGTGCCGTTGAAATAATAATAGTGTTTTACTTATATCAACCTTGTACATATAATTTACAAATAGTAAGGGCGTAAGGGAGATCTTTGGGAGACGCCTTTGTTCAGCAGTGGAGTTCCGGACTGAGATGAAGATGTTCAGTCGATCAGATCGAGCAAATGTATCAGAACCTGATCTTTATTTAAAGTGATAAACTATGAAATCGGTCACAATGTATCCGATCTTTGCTACTATTGTTCAATAAACACTAAGCGGGATACAGAATGAAAATAATGTACCTCAATCTATATATATTTATGAATCATTCTATCACTTAATCCTTCCTTCCAAACAAAAAATAATTTAATACTTACATTCATTTAAGGAAACATGAGACTTTTTCTTTGAAGATAATGGAATGGTGAATTACGCTATTGAGACACCAGTTGAGGGTGATATGATGATCATGAAATCAGGTCAGTTAGCCCAATCTGGCAAATTTATCACGATGGTTTCTAGGGGCGACCCCGTGGAGGTCAACCTTGTACATGCATAACAATGAGGTTATAAACCACATTACTAATAATGACCTTCACCCTACTCTTTATTGACTGACAGTTGTCATTACATTTAGCTCAATTTACGTAATATCTTTTTAACTACAGCCTAGCATATATATGTTATTCTGATGTATAAGCTATATTACTGTCAGTAGTGTTTGTGTGAAAGAGTAACGAACATCCTTTCATCCATCCATACTTACAAACTTTCGCGTTTTACTATTAATATAAGATACCCATATATAATGAATATATATTAAATATTAACTTACATATATGCAGTATGTTTACGTCTATGATAGCTGTACACGTAACTTTAAGGGTCGGCGTTATCAATAGCAAAAAAATATAAAAAATCACAACACATTGTTCCAAAACAATGGCTGCAGGTGTGAATTAGCACAGGTAAGGCATTTCCTCATCAGAAATGGAACACACGATTTTTCTATTGCTAATAACTTACAGTGAAGCTCGAATTTTCTGTGAAAAAGCAAAAATTCCTTTAGAAGAAGGAGTTTGGAGTCATGACCTTCAACATATGGACGCAGCAGTAGTGGAAAACCGGCCAGTATCAATCACCGAAGGGCAAATTTACGTGTACGAAAATTATTTCCCAGGGTATATGATTAAATATATTAACGTGGATAATTTGGCTATGAGATCCTGCGGTGCCAGTGCTTCAATTAAGAAAGGCGGTGTAGGCTTTTCCTCTGTGTTAATCGTTCTACACGCAGAAAGTAATCAAGAGATTAGAGCTGTTATCGACATTTGGGGTACAAAAAACTATGAACCGAAGATACACAAGGTGATAATAGACGATGATATAAAAAATATGAAGTCGCTGCATTTATTTAAAGGTGTAAGAGTAGTGCATCATAACAAAGGATATTAGTGTTCGTTTTATAGTACCTAAATCTCTGAATAAAAGCAACTAAATCTCGATAACAGTTTTTTGTTAGCTGTAAACAATCGAGAATAAGATCAGAATTCACTGATTTACAGATTGTACTGAATATTTTTGGGATGACCAATGAAAGTTCTTCCAGTGACGTAACTAAACCGCTATCTATATCTAAAGCTTCTTATATTGATTAAATAATAGTATTTAATAATGTATATATTAAATATTCCATTCTTCCTGTGATTGACGATACTCAAATCAGTAATATTATTCTCAAGTTTAATCGAATCCATATTTGCAATTTTTTTAGGAACTTGACATACGTAAACTGCATAATTACCCACATGAAAGACTGCTACCCACTGCTAGACTAGCCGCGCAATCTGTATCACATATACTTAACATTCATCATTATATTTCGCCCAATTTACACATCTTTTTAAATTACAGCCTGTATTATTCTGATGTATAAGCTATATTTCTGTACAGTTACATTACATTTCGTTCTAGTTTTTGCGTGAAACAGTACCAACCATCCATCAGCAAGATTTTCGTAATTTATTATCTCACTCGATTGACGGTGAAAAGGAATGGTGACATCATGCGAAATAAAACACACAATATAGTTGACATTTATTTTATTCGATAATGGTTACAATCAGGATCACATTTACTCCTGTGATGATTAATACTAATAAGTTTAAATTTAAGATCCATAATACTATGTAATACGATGCACACGTTTAGAAGAACTATCGTGCGACCGTGAATAGACAATAAATAATAATATGGTTTTATAATAATAATGTAAACAATTCAAATGATGCTATTAAACAATAAAATAATGATTTTTGTCATTAAACAATAAAAAAAATAGTATATTAATAATTCGATAGTATTTCGTTTATTCCATGTACTTATCACTGATTTTATTAGTAAGACATACTTAAAGTTAAATAAATCAAATAAATTCAATAAACTGTGTACCGATATAAATAGGGTTTTAGTTTCAGGTTAATTTACTTTGTTAATAATGAAGTCGATTTTTTGGGAATAATAAATTATTTTCACACTTTAAATTATAACAATTTGCTGTCTGGCATTCTACTAATAAAATTAGTTTGTTACTTACGCTACAGAGATTTCTTTTCATCACACAGTCTCCAACCTTATTACATTTCAACATCACATAGTCTCAAACCTTATTACATTTCAAATCTAATAAGGAATAAATTTATTATTCATAGGCCTCTCAGGCTGTAATACATTAAAAGTACCTAAATTGATTCAATCATATCTCAGTCCAACAATTAATGTTTCTACTCAGTCCTTTTTTAATATTCATACTGAAAACATTCTACCTACGTAGAAAAATTAACGATAGCTTAATTATTTATTAGTCTTTCATATTAGTCTTTATTACCGTGTATACCGAAATTTTAGCCGTAGTAATTAGTATTATCAACTTACGTCAATAGTATTTAAAGATTGGGCTGAAGTTTTTCATGATTTATAAAATGATTCTAAAATACTACTATTATATAGTATCCAATTTTCAGTCATAATAAAATAATAATAAACTGACTATAATACTTTTATTTATTTTACCCTAATTCGATTGGGTCGAATACCCAGAGACTGAAATACTGATAATATTCTAACTGTTACTTTTATCTTTACCTGTTAAGTTATCATCATGAAATGATTTGAGTCAGACAGCATCCTAAGAATCCAATATTTTTATCGAAAAGTGATTTTACTGTAAATTATAAATTAAATAATAGTAAACTACAAGCAGTACGTAATACATTTATTCATGGTTTAAATTTCTTTAAAACCATTCTAAATGCAGAGATCATTGAAAGATACTTACATTCTATTTTGACTATATAATTTTAAATTAACATCTAAGTTTATTGGTATACTGAGATCATCACTTACATTCTATACTGAGAGATCTCCATCCTCGAATCTTAATACATTTATCGTTGTTACCATGTATTACCTGCTCTAACTGCCTAAACACGACTCACAAATCAGGTGTAATATTGAAGTAATCGTGTTGAAGGCAAAATCGAGTTGGTGGGCGCTCTATCAGATATCGGCCATAAGGGCCGATCGCTACTCAGGAGGAGATCTGGGAAACGTTGCAGCGTTACCTCTATTAGGTGACGAGTATCAAGCGAAAGATATTAGAATAGAAGTCGTGCGCCAGTTATATCATGTCCAACATATAAGGAACCTGGCGCGAGTACATATTGAACTTATACTATAAACCGTCATTACGACGTCTAATGAAATTGAATAAATATCGATGAACACTACAATATCAACCTTGAATAAGTTTCAGAGATGAATGCTGTGTACAATTCTATGTTGAATAAATGGTAAGAATTGTGACACAAATATTTAAGCATAGTGGTCGTCAAACTCCAACACGGCGCGACCGACGATGTCAGAGTAGCAGAGTCTGCTTACAGTTTTAATAGCTTCATCAGCTTTAAATAAGCTGTATGGTGGCGATACGATCTGGAAAGTGAAAAACAATGTTACAAATATGAAAGGTAAAAATAATTACAATTAAATAAAGAAAATTATTTATTTTATAAGATTTTTATACGGATGATATATACGCGATGAAGATTCGTAACTGTGAAACGGATTTAATGCGGTAATACAGGTAAATGTCGTATTACATAAATACACATAATATTTTTTTTTCTAATTTAAGAATAGAATAGAATAGGAAACCATTTATTCAAATAAACTTAATTTAAGCACTTTTGAATAGTCATATTTGTTTTTTATCTACCACTCGTTCGGAAAGCTGTCTCATCACAGATATAAAAGTAACACCTCTTAATCTCAATTATAGATCTTTTTAATGGAACTTTTACTTTTAACCTAAAACTTATATGCGAGATATCCCGGGTAATAGTAGGTATGAAATAAAAGTAAGACTTACGTCGCCACACGCCACTGCGTCCAAAAGCTCCCGTAGCTGTTCAATGCTACCCTTCGGTATCATCTCAATGTGAACATTGAGTTCTTCAGCTTTGCTGGCAAACTCAGGCAGCAATCTTCTGCCTACCTCCTCAGTGATTATGACCACTCCACCCTATTTCATAAATAAATATTTCCTTCTTAGAAGGTAATAAATTACATTACTATATGGATTTTTTAAACATTATTAATAATAATAATCTCAGAACAATTCACACAGCGCCATTTAGACCTAAGTTGAGCTGGCTAAAGCTTGTGTTATGGGTGCTAGACAACTGATAGAAAAATACAGCTATATATTTTTTCGTGAAAACATAAAAAACACCCAGACCGGTACAAACAATCATACTCAAGAATTCAATTGTTTGTGCCGTGCGAGGCATCTAACCCGCGACCATCGCAAGTAAGGTGGTGTGTTTAACCGCTAGATCACCCAGGCCAACATATGAGCGTGGAAAATATCCAAACAGGGTATCTTGACATATCTATTTGGTACACATTGGTTAGTTAGTATATTATACCTCCTGATGGAAAGGGATTATTGTTGCTTATATACTTGAATAGCACACATATATACATGGACATCCCGTCACGTGACCACGCAATATGGGAAAATAGTATATAGTTTTATATCATAATTTTGATAATATATTGATTTTAATTAATACTCGTATATGTAAGTCAAAATACAATATTCAATTATTTTGAATATCGTAATTTGACTTATTAATGTGCAAAATAATATTATTTTTCATAGTCAGAAGTTGATTAAATAACGCTTTTTTTTGGACTACCTAATGCTGTTGCAGGCCGCAGCTGGCACCTTTACAGCTTCACCGGACGATAGGGGGCAAGTGCAGATGGCACTCCAAATCCGAGGAAGGACTTATGGAGCGGCTTAAGGCCAATTCCCGCCTGACGGATACAACTTTAGTTTGAGGGCACCGCCAGGTTTGAACCCCGGCTCAGGCCGTCGTAATATCAATCCCCGTTTGAATTGGACGGGGGATCGATAGGAGGGGGATAGGGGATCGATAGGGGACGCATTTTAAGTAATTCTATATATATGTTAAATCATATTATGACAAAATATATTAGTTTCATTTGTAGAATTATACATTTTTAGATATATACTTAATAATAATTTTATATACTCTAATTGCTTACTAAGTGACACACCTTATTTTTCAGTTTATTTCCGTTGTAGATTACTGTCACCCAAATTTTCAGAGGACTTTTTATATAGTATAACAATTTATAAACAAGAGGCTAAAAAAATTTTACAATAAAGATTTCCTGTTTGAGAAGATATGTAAAGGAAGTGATATAAGTCAGAGTAGGAAATTCAATATTTCTTACAGCTTACCAAAGATAGAATTCACTTGTACGTACATTTTATGGAGACTCGTCAGAATCTAGCTAGAGAAAAAATATATTTATACTTTTTTTTAAACCTACGCGATTACGCATTAATATAGTTAACTGGGTTTTAGAACGGCATTTATCTATCTTTTTAATGGTAGCTACCACAAAATATAAGGTGATTGAATAGATTAAGGGCGATTTTATGAAGACTAATTATTTTCTTTTTATAATTTGTTATAAGTTGAGCTTAGTTTAAAGTTATTTGGTTAATTTAGTCTTGTATTACATTCTATATACTTTCTTTTATTTTTTTTATTATTAAAGGCCATATATTTTCAGCTATGGCATATTAGTGATTTACATATATGAGAATTCCCTATAAATTGTATATAATTTGAATGCATTACTTCATATGGGTACCAAATTTATAATAAAAAATCATAAAACTAGCCTCCATTTTTCATAGTGCGCCGTGATGGCTATTCTAAGACTAAGGATTAAAGTGTCATACTTCTGTATCCTGTAAATTCACATTTGAATATTCATCTTTCAACCCAAACACAACTGACAAAGCAAGTTGCTTGACAGCTGAAATGGATGTGACAGGTGCGCGTGCAGCCGTAAAAGATCTGGCAGACAAATCTTTCGACCAACCTGCACCACCATCAGGTTGGTTGGCCTCGGGGTGAACCCCGTTACCCCGGGCAACAATTCCGGGAACGTGGTTTAAGGTACTACAACTAGAAGTCTACTAAAAACCTAAGTGTATACTTAAATAAACTTACCGGTGCGAGGCATTGCAGACATCTGAGCAGTGCCCGAGATGTAGTGCCGAAGTTCATAATTACGTCGAGCGGTCCATCAAAAGCCTTGGTAGTACTTTCAACCAGTTGAGTCTCATATAAGCGTTCGTTCCACTCAACCACCTTAATTTCACTGCAATTGAATGCATAATATGAGAATAAGAACAATATTTAATTATAAACTAACATTCAAACACTTCATGCAAATTCGTGTGCATGCATGTTATACTTCTATGATAGATCTTACTGACTCAAAAATTTCAGCCGACAAGAATCTTCCTTTGTAAGTTGTGTTACGGTTGGAGTCAGATAGGACAGTGAAATTTGAAGGCATCTTAGTCTTTGGTAATGGCAATACATGATACGTTCATGTAATGACGCAATGACCGTGCACCATGCATGCTGTATAGAGGTGACGATTACGTGTTCTAATACATTATTAAATGAAGTACGAACAGACAATTAATCAAATAATTAAGTCGTGCATTCACAGATCAGGCACTAATTGGTAAGTAACAGACGACATATGCCATGTCACTCTAATGCTACAGTGAGATTAAAGCAAAACAAAAAAAATAAGAATTTTGACCTATTGTTTTAAATCACGCGCGTTAATTTCAAAATCGGCGTAACTGATTTGAATGCAGCTTATGCTAGTGTATTGTAGCAAACTTCCAAACCGTTTAGTGTTTAATTCCAATCAGGAAATTGAAAAATTGGAAGCGGTAGTAGTCACTCTTAATATTACTAGTTATTTGCCTCGAATAATTTAGAAAGAATGTTATTCATAACCTATACCGAGCTAATACGTCAAGTACTATTATAGAGACCTAAATCAGATTTTGATATATGTGTCCAATATAATTGTATGGGACATTATACGTTTTTTATATTATCTCTGACCGCGTCATGTAAAACACTCTACTATTGCTATTGGTGAATGTATCGAATGACGTATATACCTTTCGCCGAGGATGCATGATGTGCTATTTCATTTGCCAAAACTCATATCATTTCACGCCGATCCAAAATATTGCCTATTTATGTTAAATAACAAATATAATTATAAATTAAGTACAATTATTTTTTATTTAACTTCTGTTTTATTTCATAGGGATATACTGTGATCACAAGCCAGGTTTTTTCAGTACTATCTTATTACGCTCCAAGAAAACTTGTCGTTCTTACAACTCTATATACAGTTCATGGGTTTCTAGTATTTCTGTTTCGACCTCTACGAACAATATATCCAATTGGGTCGCTGTAAGTTACGCTTTTTGCACTTAAAATTTGTTTGTTTAATTCCAATCGGTATTCAAACAAAAAAAAATACACTGATAAGCGGTTGCGAGCTCTGCAAGTTTATAATAAAACTTACTCATCCCATTCCTGACAAAACACGAATTCATCACGCCTCAGAGTAGCTACAGATAGCACAATATTTTTTTCATATTCTCCTTGCTTGAAATAAGTTGAGGCGACCCATAGCGCCCAAAGTGAAAGCCCACCGGTGCCAACGATCATTACGGTCGCCTTCTCTTTAGGATTTGCACCTTCAAACATGTTTTTCAACCAATTATTAGCAATCGACGCAGCATTTACAGCGAGCAATCCCCCTGATGGTAAGGTACAGGCGACGCACAAAGACAGTTCATCAGGAACTGGTACAAGTGTATTAATGTCTTCGATGGATATGAAGTCAGCGTAACCATGTGGCACATCCTCGGTTGGAAATACAACTACTCTTGAACCTTCACTAATGCCATTTGTATCTTCGACGGCCAATCCTATGGCGTCTACTATGCCAGCAACTTCATATCCCGGAAACAATGACCCGTCACGTAATCCCATGTGAGCTGGTGTTGGCCTGCTTATTGTCATATTTTGCATTAGAAATTCAAGACTTCCCGCACGGGCTCTTGGAATGTTTTCCTCCTGAGCCTGCTCCGCTGCTCCTGGGCGGGTCATAACAGTGCTATAACAAGCTCCTGCGAACACCACGCGGATTCTTGCACCAAAAATTGGTACATCAGGTATAGGTGCTGCTGTATTCATGGCACACTCCATGACAGTGGGTGCCGAAGATTCAATAGAGACTAGTCTGCATCGGTCCTCCATTTTTGATGTTTAACTGCAATAAAATATTGTTTTATCTATTTTAGGGCATTTTCGGATATATCATGGACTATCCGCGACTTCGTCCGCGAGGAAAAGTATCCTTGACCGAATAAATAAAGAATATTTAATAATGTAACCCAATACATTTAATACCAAAAATAGACAAAAAAAGTAGCTTCAAAAATGTCGAATTTCCACACAAACTAGCATCCCCTTTTTACAAACTTTGAATGACATATTTTATTTATTGTAAGTCATATTTAATATACAGCGTAAAAATAGGTTTCAATCTGCTACCTTCAAAATGACGATACTTTCATACAACTTCTCACCTCCACTTTGAACCCCTTACAACCCTTTTTTATTATTTATGTTTAAAAATGACGATATTTCCATACAATCTTTTAACTCCCCTTTCAACCGCTTACAACCCCTTTTTAGCATTAAAAAGTCCTTTCTCCGGATTTAGACTAACTGTGTAGGTACTAAATTTTATTTAAATCTGAGTTTTTACGTGAAGGCAGGAAGCGTAAATTTTTAAAAACTTTGTTACAACAAATAAGTTTCAAGCTTCTAGCTTCAAAAATGACGATTCTTCCATACGATGTTTCATCCCCAATTTCAACCCCTTACAACCCTTTGAAGTAAGGATTATATTTATATGATTACCTGGGACACAGAAGACCAAATTCCTCTTGATTACTTTATTCTAGGCCTGAAACAGGAAATAAACTTTAATGGAATTTTGAAAGGGCAGCATTGAATACACCCAATACACATTTGTTTTAGTGAAGTTAATAAAAAAGATAGATAAATTTATTTATAGTATTTAATAGAGAGACGGTTATAAGAGAATGAAACTTCTAATAGCTAATTACTGACACTTTACAAACAGTGTTTAATTTTAGTTCATAACACATATATACTCTTTTGTATAAAATCTAAGCAACTATTATAAATACTATTTCAAATTATTAAACAATTATTCTATCATTTCTTACCAAGTAGGTAATACCTAAGTAAACTTTTTTGATCTAGAGGACATATTGTTTGGTTGTAAAAAAAATCGAGAATCATTTGTTTTTTTTTTCACAAATTCAAAAACGAATGCATTTATTCGAAATTTAAAGCGTTTTCATTGTTTATTAAAGTATTCAGTATCAATTTTATGATTTAAACAATAATTTGGAAAAGTTTTCAACAAATTTTGATTTTGAAACATTTTTTACGTAATGAAGCGACGTCATATGAACGCAGATGAAATGCAAAGAGATGTCGGGATGTTTCAAGCGGGAAGAAGTCAATCTCTGGTATCTCGGTATTTTTGTGTCAACAGAAGCATTGTTTGCCTTCATCATCAGCGTTACACGAACACGGGAGATCGTAGAAGGTGTACAACCACACGGCAAGATCGATACACACAACTGACTGCAAGACGCCAGCCGATGTTAACCGCCCGAGAGATGGTGGGTTTAGGCTATTATTACTATCCCATCAAAAACATAAATGTGAAATGATAGCCGAGTTTAATATTATGATATATGCCTTGATTGTTGACTTCTACGACAAAAGAGGTGAGTTCTAAATGGGTGCCAAGTTCAATGGTCTGTTCTGAAATGTATTTATAACAATATAAAATATAATTTCTTCTTATAACTTAGGATAATATACTGTAGCCTAAGGTCTAACTTGGCCAGTTCTCATATACCAATTATTACTTTCGATTACTAGTTACTACTAATAATAAAATAGGAACCGACAAGTAACATTTTTCGGGGTATATGATATTTCGACTATACTCTTAGTTATAAGTACGAGTATATTTTAGACAGAATCTAAATTATAGCAACTTGTGTTTACCGCTCAATGCAATATTTGAAGTTTGCTAGTTATCCACACTGATGTGAAGGGGTTAACGTAAATTGGTAAAGATCGTTTTCATACAATATTACTATCCGTCCAGTACAAGATGATCTCTGGTAGCCAGTGATGGATCAAAGTTAATTGGTAGCTATCGACGTTTTCATACAATATTACTTTCCGTCCAGTACAAGATGAGCTATTTTTGCCAGGGATCAATGTTCATTGGTGGGTATCGACGTTTTCATAGAATTTTAGTATTCGTCCAATATAAGTTGAAATAGAATCAATTAAAGTGAAAAATTATAATAAAATGATAACAATTTACCAGTTTCAGAATTTTTCCTTTACATTCACCTAATTACCTATCTGCATGCCAAATTTGAACTTCCTAGGTCATCTGGAAGTGGGTTATAATTTTGATCTATAGTTGATCAGTGATAAAAATGACGATATTTGGACGTTAATATCTAAATAACCGTTTGAGATATGTTTATGAAATTTGGAACACATATTTATCTCGCAAGTCTCAATATATGAACCAAATTTGACAGATTTGTGTGAAAGAATTTTTGAGTTATGACGGGGTCAAAAGTGGCTCCAAATGGTTCGTGTAAATATACACACGGTGCTGCTCGCCAGTTCTCTGACTTGAAACTCGGCTTGACACACTACCGCATGCCTTAATCTGGATTAAGGCTACAAAATTCAAGTGATGTTGTTGTTAGCTGCCAAACTGCGCAAAATTGACTGCATGAGTATGCCCTACGAGCATGACGGCCAATTAGGTGCCCACCGATACGTCATGGGAATCGCGCTCGTCGAAATTAATGGTGTAGAGAAAACATTACATGGCGGGTCCAACGGGGGGGTCCAGCGGGGAACGACGGAATAAAATTTTATTTTGCGATGAGTCTCTATTTGGGTTCAAGTCTAATACTAGAAGGGTAACAATGTACCGTCGTCCTGGAAATACTTAAATACTCAGGTGTGTTCAGGAAGTGTTGTGTGAAGTCCAGTTTCACTTAATTTTGTTGAATAAGAAAAATAAATGCTTGTATTTATGAGTTTTCAAAAGTGGTAGGTAATCCAATTTTATTAAAAGTATTACACATACTGGCCAAGGATACTGGCAAATAATAAACTATGTGTCTTTTTTTGTTAACTGACCAATCATAATAAATATGTGTCTATGGCCATTTCTCTGTAAACTGGGCAACTTAGACCAATATTCTAAATTGCATCAAAACCGTTTTTATTGGCCTTTAAAACAGTACCATGGCATGTCATCAAACCAGTCTAGTTGCTTCAGACTAAATTAATAAACTGTACCTATGTATTGAAATCAATCAATATTGTTTGATTGTTAAGGAAACCTATTTATTTTACATTAATAATATTTTAAGATTCGAAAAGAAAACTTTATCCTCGCTTTTTGTGAACAATCCCCCTGTTTAAAATCTAATTTGTGTTACTTATTTAATTATTCTAAATATTAAACAACGACATTTCTATGTTTAAAGGATAGTAACAATACTAAAATTTGTGCGGTTACCGCCATTACGGCACAGACGCCATCTTGTTTAGAACTGTGCGAGCGTCCTTCCATGGATGTCGGTTTATAACCCAACAACGAACAGTCCTGTGATAAAATATATTTTTATTTATACATTTTAATGAAAACTATAAAGTTCAAATTGTTACGATAGATACGTATTTCCTATTTACAGTAAAATTTCATGGGGCAAGTACATTACTTATCAATGAAATCAAATTAAACAGTTCACTGGCAACAGTCCCCAGCCACGTAAGCAAGAGGACTGATGATAGATGTACATAATAAAAGCTCAAGCTCTATGTCTTTGGAGAAAAAGAAAATATAATATTAAGTATATAGTTCAATTTTTAATTTTTTTTAAGGTATAGTTTCTTAATTCTTCAGTTTTCAAAGTTTAATTACAATAATAAACAATGCATTTTGATATAAAACATTGTATTTTTTATTTAAGTTCAGTTCCCTGACATAAATAACCTGTGTAGAAATTTCAGAAAACGCTCAATATTTTCTATAGTATATTTTTAGTTCATCTGCCATGTTTGAATAAATAGATGGCTATCCTCAAATAAGATTTATTAAATGTATAATTAAAAACATTGCCTAGATAGCACTCTTAAAACGAGTTGCTCAGTTTACAGAGAAACATGTTTATACTTAATATTTGGAATAGAGGTGAATGTAAACTACTACATATACTCTCAATCGGTAATCTGTCAGGGGGAAGGGGATTGTTAGTAATATGGATTGTTGACAATGTGCTCTGTCATGTTGACCTCCATGCTATTCCCCCTGGTGAAGTTGTAAAGATGACTTCACTTCTGGTTCATTTTATCATTCTCCGCTAGTTTAAGCCGTTAACACAGGTAGGTGCATCATTCCCTAACACATGGGCGTGGCCGCAAGCAGGGACATGGGCGTGGCTGGTTTGCGCACGCGCTGTGTGCTTCACCCTGCCCCACCCTGGGTCTGACCTATAAGCTATGTAACTGAACTGTAAAAATAAATTATCCAAGTACTAACACTATGAGTAAGAAAGTTTATGCTCAACAATTGATACAAAAATAACATTCAGATACAGAGTGCTATAGGATGTAACTATCTTGTATGAACCCCAGGTTTGCTAGTTACATAATATTTTAGACTACAGCCCCGCCCTGAGCCCAAGGCTAGGTACGCCCATGCTATTATTCTTAATAAAAAAATCTGACAACGGGGATACCATCGTGATAAATTCCTGATGAATTAGTCACAACGGGTTAACTGACCTGACCTCAAGTTCATCTTATTAACCTCTCAAAATCTGAATTAAGTAGTAGACAATAGCTAATAAGGCATATATATATATATAAACATATATATATATATATATACATTAATGAGATCATTAATTTGAAAACAGCTATCTAAATTTAGAGAAGTATATTTAAATGCAGATGGAACAGAAATTTTATTGTTAATATTTACTTACACACACCTTATTATTATTATTATAATAAATAAAATACTTACAGCAAAATTAAAAAGATTCTCCTTAAATGCACATGAATATGACCTGATTGAAGAGAATTCAATGAGGTCATAGAAATAAATCCGAACAAAGGAAATTGAAAAATAGAAAACCAAAATCCAA